TGCTGAGTCATTTACATTATACTGTAATTTCTTCTATTAGTGACATTAATTGAAGATTATTGTATAAAATTATAAACATTTCAATGTTTGGCTTATTACATTTATTATACAAATTGTTTGAATTTACGGAAATGTGTCACTGAGAAAAAAAATTAACATGTTCAATGCGCATGACGTAGTTCCGCACTATTGCATACTTCTTAGCAATGTGCATGGATCTACGTCTACGAAAAAAAATTAAGTGTCTTTGGTATAATATAGTGATAAAGACATATACATGTCTATATGTATAATTATAGACATTAAAAGGTCTATATACATAATGCTGACCAATAATACAATATATACTTTCAAAAATCTTGTTTTAGTACTATTTTTGATGAAACCAAAAGAATTTAGGAGCAATTAACATATCAATAATTTTGGTACTTACATAAAAAATAATTCCTCAAAGAAATTTCAACTTGCACTAAATTTTTAAACAAAACTTGTAGTCAATTATTTGAAATATTTAGAATTCCTTTATCAATGTTTTTATGTAATAATTATTAGATTTATTCTAATGTGATTTCTCTTTCCACTATTCCACTTCTAATCAACCTTTACAACAGTAGCTTTTTACAGCTTACAATAGCTGTATTGCAAATAATAAAAATTATAAATAATATTTATTAATTAAAATGTTATATTTATTTAATAAAATATTATTAAACATGTGATATTTTTTATGAAAAATTACGTTACAAAATTCTCTCTCAAAATTCATGTGTTCCATTATTACACAACAAAATAGACTGTTTTAATAGTTCTATAAGTTACATATTCATATATGAGAGGTATCTAAAATTATTATAATCAAATTAGATTAAACATGGATATATATCATAATGTATCATAAAAAAAATTAACTAAAATTCTCTTTTGAGTAATGTATTTTGTTCGTCACTACTATTTTTTTACTTAAGCTAATTAGAGTAATTACATATTAATGTAAGTATTGACAGCTTGACAAGTTAATTTGCATATCACCACGATACCTAGAAGTTGGAAGCGAATATCTTATATAAACGCAAATTTTACTTTAAAAATAGGAGTATTATTCTAGAAGTCGCAAGAATAAGTAATACGCCAAGTTAGAACAATGACAAAAATTGGCATCATAAGTTGCATCATCGTAGCTGTTTGCGTAAGTTTCTTGATTTTTTATCTAAAACAGTTGTTTGAATTATAAAAATTTAATATTTATCAAAATTTTTAAAAAGTTTTATTTAAGGAGATTGATTGCTCAAATCAATATGATAAGAATTAATTCTTGTGTGATCCTAAAGTCGCACGTTTTTAGCCTATTTTGGTGGCCCTCAAAATTTGAATTAAATTGTATGCCAAATGATGCTATATTATGAGACATTAATCTCAAAAAAATTTAAAGTTGAGCATAGGACTAGTTTTGGAGATAGAGGAGGGTTAAAATCGCCAAGTTCCCAATATTGTCCAAGTACAATAGACACAAAAAGGAAGTTAAAACTTCTTTGATAATAGTGGTATTTTGAATAAAATTAGTCCGAATAATTCTCTGACCACTGTGTGTGTATTAAAAATTTACCTCTTCTACCCCTGTTGCTTACTTTTTTAAATTGGTAAAACTACCCTCAAAAGAAGTTTTTGCTGAATTTCTGAAAAACGGATAGAGATACAAAAAAATGTTTTGAATGGAAGTTGTTTGTCTAGGAGTTCTGCACAAAACAGGTATGTTTCATTTTTTTGTACGACTCACTCTTTGGCCGAAAACTGTGCCAAAAAAAAAAAGAATTTTTGAAAATAAAAGGAATCTTCTTAAGGAACTATCATTACAAAAATAAGTGTCGATATTTTAAAATATACAATAATTGTAAAAAGATTTTAATTATCTTAAGTATTGCAAAGTGTGATATTTACGTCGCATATGATATTTAAAGCATCTTATATCAAAATATTTAAGATAACGCAATACTTAAAATAACTAAAATCCTTCTACAATTATATCTTAAAATATTAACACTTATTTTTGTGATGCTAGTTCCTTAAGAGAAAATTTCCTTTATTTTCAAAAATTATCTTTCTTTAGGTACAGTTTCCGGTCAAAGAGTAAGTCCTACAAAAAAAATGAAAGAAACCTTCTTTGTGCAGAATTCCTAGACAAACAACTTCTATTGTAAACATTTTTTTCGTATCTCTATCCGTTTTCCACAAATTCAGCAAAAACTAATTTTGAGGGTAGTTTTACCCCTTTAAAAAGTTAAGCAACAGAGATGGTACAGGTAGATTTTTAGTACAGTGGTCCAGAGAACCATTCGGACTAATTCTATTCAAAATACCACTATTATCAAAAAAGTTTTAACTTCCTTTATGTTTATTGTACTTGGACAATATTGGGAACTTGGACACTTTGACCCTTCCGTATCTCCAAAACTAGCCCTATGCTCAACTTTAAATTTTTTTTAGATTAATGTCCCATCATATAGCACTCTTTCGCCACCTGCTCCGCAATGTGTGACGACAACCAACCTCCTTAATATTTATTTTATAACTTATAAATTATGATATTCTCTTTCCCCCCCCTCTCTCTCTCTCTCCCCCCCTCCCTCCCTCCCTCCCCCTCTCTCTGCACTATTTAAAATAATTATATATATATGTCTATATGCCACATATTGATATATTAATCAAATTATTTATTTAATTCTAGGTTTTTCAAACAGCAGGAGCTGGAATTTTTAATACATCGGAGCTAGATTCCATATTGGGTGGTGTGAAAAGCGGAGTTACAGATTCGCTTGGAAATGTAAAAAAGATGGAACAAGAGGTCGAAAATCGTGGAAAGGAATTAATTTCTGACGTAAGATTTAATTTAAATTTGGCTATCAAAATGTAAAACATAAATATAAAGTCGTATAAATAAGTTATATATATTTCTATATTATTCCATATTCAGAAATAAACAGTTTTAACTTTAATTTACATTGCAGAGCAAAAATATTACATTTTATATATCATTTTTTATATTTTCATATATTTTATTAAATTATACTCGTAAAAGTTTTTATATATCAACCCATTTTTTTTATTCAACAATACATCCAATTATATTTTTAAACCACTATATTTATATTTAATACACACGTTGATTTCAAATAGTTGATCTATACCATTAAAAATAAAAGCAAAAATAAATAGAAAAATTCAATCGTATATCAATATTGATAAACATAGATATTACAGATAAGTAGCATTCATAAAATTACAGTAAAAATGCAAAGAATAATTAGATGTCTACTTTCATAATCCTATAATATCATATGATTTATAACAAAGTTTATAATAAAAAAAACAGGAAAATATTATATCTCCTTCACAAGAAGTAGGTATTAAATATCTATTTATTCAATTACTGGTATTTCGAATAAAATTCTATACTTCAGTTTACTTATTTTAGAATGCAATACCATTGAGCCTCGTAGTATCTTTAAAAAAATTGATTTTTATAAAAAAAATTTTAATGACAATGCTTCAAAGTTACATGCTGCTAATTTTTAAAAATTTATATTGACAGATACAAAATAAAATTGAATCATCCAAATCTCCACTTCAGAATTCTACAAGATGCAAGAAATTATACAGCGATGCACAACAAATAAGCAATAATTTAATAGCGGTTTTCAAAACCTGCATGTCAAATGGAACACAAGCTTACAGTGCAGACATTCAAAAATTGTCCGATGTAGTAAATAATCTGACAGGCCTACTAGGAAAAGGTTATCAAGATATTGTAAGCTGTTACCAAAAACTCGTAACTCCTTGGGAAATAACTCAAATAGGTCAATGCTGCAGTACAGTAAGTATATGTCAATTAATTCTTATCTGTCTTAATTCTTAAATAAGCACTCTTATTATAACAAATTTGTAAATATTTCTTATAATATATAAAACAACACCAATAATATTAAATATACTCTTGCATTCTAACTTTTATACCAACTTTGATTAAATTACAATTTTTTAAAAGACTGTTTAAAAAAAACCTAATATACTTTTCAGATAACGCAAGACCATTTTAAAATACTACTCAAAATGTGGAAAGCTGTGCTTGATGCAAATAAACTTGTTAAAATTTTCCCAAGTATAGGAACATGCTTTGTGTCAGCAGCTCTGCAAACAATTTCTTCAAATGCTGATAAACTCATCAAAGACGTGCAACAATGCTATACATAAATGTTCTTCAACCATTTAAATCGTAAATCATTTATTGATTAATGTACTTCTATTTTTAACTATGTATGTATATAATATTACAATATATACATATATATATATATATACATATATGTATGTAGATATTGTAATATAATAAATACATGAATTACACACATTACCACTGCGAGTGTATTGTATGATACAAGATTCTTTTCTCACACTGCACATATATTTTC